AACATGACAATGCAGCTGAAGAGTTCAGAGGTAACGGCAGAATGTGGCTAGCAAGACAAAGATTTCTAATTGCTGAAACTTGTGAATAAATGAATCCCTAGAAAGTTCTGTGTAAGTGAGATTCTGTTGCTTGACTCCTTCCAGTTGAGCAGTGTACAGAAACTTCATGGGCTTTGTATTCTTCATTTCTCTTCCCACTTTGGTAGAGAAACTAAAGTCATGCTTGATCTAAATTATTTAAGCTCCAGTGTGTATCAAGTCCTGACACCTGCTGGCAAACTTTAGTTTTTTTTTCCTTTCCCCATTGGAAAAATAACTTTATAGAATATCCACAATGTTCAAGCATGCAACCTGCCTTTCTGCATATTCTGTTCTGATTATATTATCCGATCAGGGTAGTCATGTAGATCTATCAGCTGTGTTCAGAGTACAGAGCTCTATTGGCTATCTAGAACTCTTTTCCCAGACCTTTTGCAATATGGGAACAAGTCAATGGCAAAAGAGGACTCTTCTAATCGTGATATTGGAGATACAGTGCAGTCTTTTTGCTTTTGTAGCCCCATAAGAGCTTAGAAAGGGGGTTTTCTTCTTAAAATGGTATCTTCCAGAATAACACAATCAAAAAGATGTTTTCTAAGCAATGTTTCAGATTCTCTGAGTAGTTAAAGATGTATGAGGGCAACTGTGTTGACAAGGAAAAATATTACAACTTTCCTGTTTTATTAATGTTCTGCTAGGAAAGCTTCTTATTTTCAGAGAATGTCTATTTTTTTTTGTTTCTCTTCTATACATTCATATGAACTTAAGCTAAGTGGTGGAAGACTTGTTCTTTCTCTTTAGGGTTTCTATCCTTCTGCAAATTGATTCAATCCCATAGTCTCATTCTTAAATGCTTCAGTCCAGGGCAAGGATCCAAATGCCGCATAGCTAATTTCTTAAAGAGCTCAGAAGCCCATTATGTAAAAGAAGTTGACAGAATCATCTCTTACAGGACATTGCAATAAAGGGGGGAGGTCATAAAATCAGTTGACTTGGAAATAACTAAGATTGTGACTTGGTAACAGAAGAGGAACAAAACCCCAATACATTGTTTAGTGATCCATTTAAGTATAAGGTGGGCAACCTGCCTTCTGTAGTGGAATTTTACTCAATATTATTTAAATCTGACCATTCATAAAGAATTGGAAAAACTCACTTTCAAAAGAGGTTTCACCTTTTTCTAATGTATCTGTTATTTAAATTTTGTGTTGTAAGTAGACTGAGCAGAGGAGAGTTCCTTACAATAGGGGCTGCCATAAAGAAGGCCTTGCAAGATGTTTCACAGCTTGTAGGGGAACAAATCTAATATAAATACACATGGTGAAGCGAATCCTTAGCTGTTCTCTGTGCAATAAAAATAAGAAGGTAAGGTAGGCCACATGTGCATATTTAAATTGTGTCTATTTTTATCATAAGTCCACCTATTGGAGTGCTTTCTAGGTGGTTGAGATTTTCTTGTCTGTCTGTGAAGGAAAATGAGGAAATGATACTTGCTTACAAGTCATTTGTGTGCATTTTGACAGAAAAGAACACACTTCTGATTGGGCAAATTGAGGCTACACCCATTTCAGAGGCAGAGTGGAGCATGAAATGGAGCAAACAATGACCTAATTTCTATTATATACAAGGAAGAGTAGGTTAAGAGGTTGTGGCACAGGCTGAACTGGTCCAGAGATACTGACAAACCCAGCATCACACCCAGGCTGGGCTTTTGTTTTGTTCTTTAGTAGTATGTGGTTGTTGTCGAAGAACTGTATAAGTTTGTTTGCCTTTCTGTTGAAGCCCTTGTGACTTCTGGGATACTTTTTGGAGGTGCAAAAGAGGACCTAGGGTTCTTGTCTACCTTACCATGAATCTTAGCAACCCTGATAGCCCCTTTGCCTTGCTAGGCAGGTGGCCAGCTACTCCAGAATAAGAAGTTAATATGATGAGATTCCAACCAGTTGGAAGCATCACAAAAGGTACATTCTATATTTATTACGTTGTCAGATTTCCTAGCAACTTAAGTGTATTTGACTTGTTGTTCTTCAACAGAACATTTTGGGGAAGTACAAGACTATAACAGTTTTACACTACAACTCAAGAACTAAAGCACACATTTGTGGAGCTCAGATGTGGAAGCAGTCTTACTATAAACATGTCAAAGTTACTGTGTTTTCTATCTTTCTTTGATTCTAAGATTCACTTTTTGCCCATAGAAATATCTCTAAAATGTGGCTCATCTTATAATTGCAGGATTCTAAGATGATTCTCAGATATGTGTGTGTATATACACACAGAGACTTACACATACAAACAGAGGCACATACTGGTTTATATAAATAAAGGGGTTTTCATCTCTGTCAGAATTAGTTTGCATTTTACAATCAATAGTAAATAGATTTGGGCTGTTTTTTAAATTGACATCTTGAAGAATTTATCAGTATTGCCTATGCTTGAAATGTTTATCATAATTATGGTATGCATGCATGTATGAAAGAAAGTGGCTGCAAAAAATTAAGAAAACAATTTATTTAATCTTTAGGTAACACCGCCATAGTACTAGGTCTCACATAGGCAATTAAATCTGGTCCTACTTGGATTGTGATCCATGGCTGCAATATCCAAATCAAATTGTTCACCGCTTTGAGTTGCCTGAGGGTTGAAAAAAGCGGTATATAAATAAAGTAAATAAATAAATTTGCACTGGAGGTTCCTCAACATCTCCATAAGTCTATCTGCCCCAATATTATGATGCCTTTCTTCCACTGGAACCTGAAAATCCCCAAGTCAATACATTAATTTTTCTGGGGCCACACAGTTTATGCCCACTCTTAGAAACTTGCTGTTACTCAAGCAGATAACAGATCATTTATGTGAGCTGTCGTTTTTTTTCATGCACGGTTGGAAGCCACTGATGGCAATATACTGTGAAGGCTTTGACATATTGCTATAATAACATTATTAAATTGTCCCAGCAATTGTGCATCTCTCTGGCATCCATCTAATATGCAGAATCTCCCAGGGAATCTCAGAGCTGTCAACTTGCTGCTGTTGGAAAATCTGATTCTGCCTCCTCTTCCCTGTGGGCAGATTGAAATCACCACCTTCCCTTGTTTATATACACAGCTTCACCTTCTCTTCACTCACCCCACCCTTGCTTATTGTTTTTAGCATTCCTGAATTGCCTTTTAAATCTCTACTCCACATATCTGTATATTTGGCCACTGGGAACACTTTCAACTGAGATTCAGTTGTATATTCAGAATGTTTTTCCCCATTTCTTATCCCACCTTTTTCTCCCAATTGTTAATAGTGGTGTTTATGTTCTGTTGTATTTTATCCTCATGACAACCCTGTGATGTAGGTTAGACTGACATGTAATGACTAGCCAAAGGTCATCTAGTGAACATCAAGGTGGCATCTTGGTTACCCCAGTTGTAATAAATTTTTTTCCTGGTATTACTCTGACCCAAGAGAAGGGAAACTATGGTCTGCAGGCTGTTTTTATAGCCTTCAACCTCGAGACTTTCCAGAACTAGTGGCATTGCATTGGTCTTCCATTTAAGGTTGGAGGCCAACATGCCCCCACTATTCCCTGTTCCACCCCATTTATCTCTCTTCTCATTTTTGGTCCAAAAAAATCTCCACTCCTTCTAGAGAGCTTAGTGGGACAATTTTGCCATCTATTGAGCTCCTTCTAGACTATTTTAGACTTCGAAGACGTGTTCTTTTGAAAAGGTACATGGGCATTTTGGACAAAACATTTTTTAAAGCTTGCGGGGGGGGGGGGGGCAGTTTGGGGCCACATGCAGCTTCCTGGCTATATTTTCTCATATCCAGTTATCCTTAAGACTGGGCTTTTTGTTATCTCCTCAGCTAGAACTCTGTAAATGGTCTAGAGAAGAATGGTGGCAGTCAACAAAAGGTTATAAGTGAAATCAATAATTTTCTGTAGACAGGTTATCTTAAAATAGCTACCTTTCTTGAGTGACGCCTTCGTTGAACATTGACTTAGGGCAGTGGGTCACAACCTGTGGGTCCCCAGATGTTTTGTCCTTCAACTCCCAGAAATCCTAACAGTTGGTAAACTGGCTGGGATTTCTGGGAGCTGTAGGCCAAAACACACGGGGAACCACAGGTTGAGAACCACTGACTTAGGGAATATTTTGCTCTACTGATACATTAATTTGTAAACCTTTTGTTTCTGATGAGTGTAAGAAAGTGTCTATAATAGCAATATTTGGCAATGGATGTGATACTGGACTCCATCCTTGTTTGACCTTTAGAGATGGAAGCCAACCATCTAACTTGTGTTTTTAGGACCACTAACAACACCACAAAGTATGTAGCTGTTTTTTTGTGTGAGGCCAACAAGTTCCATATCCCACAACTGTAGCCCACATTATGATATTGCCTGCCTCCTTTGTGTGCTGCTGGATGTCAGGGCGATGTTTCTTGAGTGTGCACATTTTGTTCTGTATCTATAACTTATGCTTATTCTTTGCTGTGAAGCTATGATACTTTTAGAAAGCTTTTCTTACTGTGTTGGCAGACCTTGCAGCTTAAAGCTCAAGAAAGCTGATACTTCCAAAGTGTTGAAGAAATGGGTATGAGGCAATCGGTTGAATGCCGATCATGAATGTTTGGATATTTTCACTCAAAACAGAGCTAGGAAGTGGGTTTGTAATCCTATAAATTCTTCCTCGTTAAGCTGGTTTCAGAGAAACATTCTTTGCTTTGAGCAGGAACATTCTGGTCTGTGTTCATGTTTCACAATTTCGATTAAAATACTCTGTAGCCAAGGCAAATGCCAGCTTGTATTCGCCACTTCAAACACTGCTGTCCTTGATATGCTTCATCTGTCTTTTGTGAAGCAAGTTTATTGAAATCTTTTTGTTTCTTTTGGGTTTGGAATGCTGGGTGTGTAGGCTGGCCTGGAGAACACTTGCCTGTCTCTGTGAAAGGACACTTTGCATTCAACAATCAGCATCATTGTTTCGTCAAATCTGCAATCCGTAAATCATAGTGACATTGGGCCCAGTGTTTAAAGCGTGCTAAGGACTGAAGATGAGAATTCAAGCAGGCTGGGTTATCTGAAGTTCTGGTTTTCAACAAAGGAATGAAATATATTATTTCCCCATTTGTCTTGGATTTTTTTTTTTTAGTTTTGTGAACAGCATGGGGACAGGCATTTTTGCTTACTATGGGGTCATCTAAAAATACAGGATTTTGCTAAGATCTAAAAATACAAGAGCCTACTCAATGAGGACCAAAACTGTCAACAGCATCCGTGGCGAAACAAGGAAAGAGAAATTAAGGAAAGGTAAAGTATTGTTGCAAAATACATACTTTACTCTTTTGTTCTTTGTGTTTTAGGTAGTGGAGCTTTGCTAGAAATATGGTCTAACACATTACTCATTATGAGCATATATTACAAAGTAGCTTTCCTTTAATGTGGATTTACTTCAAATGAGTGTGATTAGGATTGATCAGTATGTTTTAAAGTCAGCCTTCAGTAATTTATAATGAATTTATAAAGAATTAACCTACAACTGTCTCCTATGCTGGCATTTTGTTTGCAGATGATGCTATATTTTGTTTGATCTCAGAAAGATGAAACACTGTTTTTAAAAGGTGTAAGTGAAATAATAACTTAATTGGTCTGTAGGTTTTTCAGCCGACACGTTTGTGATATAATGGATTTATACCTGTAATTTCAAAAATACCTGGGTGGTAAGATTAACACTGCAGAAACAAAATTGGTTTAATCTAGGTGAGATGCCTTCAGTGACCCAGTTTAAACAGGTAGCGGAGCATTTTTGTTTGATTTACTGGATTTTGATTTTTCATTGGCTGAATTGACTAGAAATAATATTGACATAGATCAATTTAATACTGTGGTTGTGTAGAGGAACAGGTACTTCCATTGTTGAATATGGTGATTTTAGAGAGCAAGAAGTATTTCCCATTGTTGAATATAGTGGTTTTAGAGAGCAAGAAGTATTTCCCATTGTTGAAGCATGGTTATATTTTAACTTTTTAAAGGTAGTGCACAGGCATGACTTGTCCACATTTATTTTGTACATTAGCCATTCTTCCCTAAACTATGACGTTGTAGAGGGCGCAAAGGACAGTTTGGAACTGTTTTTTTTAGATTGCTAGGTAACTTGTTGTAGATTGGCAGGTGATTTTATCCAACTTTAAAAAAAATGTTAGCTGTTCTGTTAGACGAATCATTTCTCAGTCTTAGTAATAATCTGTCTGAATGTTAAATGGTTACTTATAATACATCCTTTTTGCAGCTTTGTTTGCTAGTTTTGAAGTTCTGTCTTTGCTCTATAATGACTGTATTTGTATATGCAGGTTATCAGAATGTTGTATCGCCACCACCATTTTGTATGTGCCCATAGCTGTAACTTTGCATCAGTTTCTTAAAGTAAAGGTAAAGGTTTCCCCTGATATTAAGTCTAGTTGTGTCGGACTCTGGGGCGGGTGTGTGTGTGTGTGTGTGTGCTCATCTCCATTTGTAAGCCGAAGAGCTGGTGTTGTCTTTAGACACTTCCAAGATTATGTGGCCAGTATGACTGCATGGAGCTCCATTACCTTCCCTCCAAGATGGTACCTATTGATCTACTCACATTTGCATGTTTTCGAACTGCTAGGTTGACAGAAGCGGGTGCTCACTCCACTTTCCGATTCAAACCACCGACCTTTCAGTCAATAAGTTCAGCAGCTCAGTGGCTAAAACTGCTGTGCCACCAGGGGGCACTTACTGGTTTCTTACTGGTGCAAAAAACAAAACAAAAATCAACAACAACAAACCAATAACAAATACAGCATTTTTTAAGGGGGAAAGGTAGTGTATATGGACTTTTCAGAGAATCTTGCATTCAGGCAGCTGCTAGGACCAGGACTGAGTTTCAGTATGTATTCAGCATTACGTACCTTTGAACCTCTTCAGCTGTTATGTAAGCAGCCTGGCTGTAAGGTCTTTTTGAAAGTTGTGTTGCAGATGACAAACATCTGTTGCTACTGCCTACAGCCAACAGCTTATGCCATTGAACTTTTATGCATTGGAATGTGGAAACAAGGAAGAATTTGAATGATGTGATGGAAATTAAACATGATGTACAGCTTCCTCACTGCTAGGTAACCCCCCACAGAGACAAATGAGTCATGGGAGGAAGAGAATCAAGCCAATACGTGTCTTTTTGACTTCACATAGGGAAGAACATGCTGATAACTAGTACTTAACTTTTTTTCTTTCTCAAATAGTTAAAGGTGGTTACTTCCTTGTTTAGAGGCGGCCATACAGTAATTTGGTGGCTGTACTAATCCAGGTGTTGTCCCTTCTTGCTTCTCTTGGTAAGCCTTTTAGAACATTCAAGGATCCCAATCCCCATCTCTCATTTCTCTCATGTTCTTCCTTCCATGTCTTCTGACAGTTAGTTTCTGGAGACCTCCAGAAGCTACTTGCAATAGAATTGTGCCCTCCAGTTGCTTAAAACTTTGATTTCATGTTTTTGTGTTCTAGCCTGGCATAATTCTTCTGTGGCTTTACCTTACTTACTTACTTACTTAGGCGATCCCTCGTTGGACGAGTAAGATGGTCTTCCATTATGGATTTCCCTGTGGGTCCGTATGTGGCTGTGGAGCCCTATTCTTGCTCTGCATCTTCTTCCGCAGTGAGGGCATTGGTTTCCAGGTGGAAGGCGGTCCCGGTCGGGGTTGGCTTGACGCGCCTTCCTCCTGGCACGTTTCTCTCTTTCACCCTCCACTCGTGCCTCCTCGAATTCTGCAGCACTGCTGGTCACAGCTGTCCTCCAGCTGGAGCGCTCAAGGGCCAGGGCTTCCCAGTTCTCAGTGTCTATGCCAGAGTTTTTAAGGTTGGTTTTGAGCCCATCTTTAAATCTCTTTTCCTGTCCACCAACGTTCCGTTTTCCGTTCTTAAGTTCAGAGTAGAGCAACTGCTTTGGGAGACGGTGGTCAGGCATCCGGACAACGTGGCCGGCCCAGCGGAGTTGATGTTGGAGGACCATCGCTTCAATGCTGGTGGTCTTTGCTTCTTCCAGCACACTGACGTTTGTCCACCTGTCTTCCCAGGAGATTTGCAGGATTTTCCGGAGGCAGCGCTGATGGAAACGTTCCAGGAGTTGCATGTGTGTCTGTAGACAGTCCATGTCTCACAGCATATAGCAGGGTTGGGAGGACAATAGCTTTATAAACAAACACATTGGTATCCCTACGGATGCCGGTCCTCAAACACTCTCTGCTTCATTCTGGAAAAATGCTGCACTCGCAGAGCTCAGGCGGTGTTGTATTTTGGTCGATGTTGACTTTTGTGGAGAGGTGGCTGCCAAGGAGCGGAAATGGTCCACATTTTCTAATGTACACCATTAAGCTGTATTACTGGCATTGGAGAGGGATTGGCTGGTGACTGCTGGAACAGCACCTTGGTTTTCTCAATGTTCAGTGACAGGCCGAGCTTCTTATATGCTTCTGCGAAGGTGTTTAGAGTGGCTTGTAGATCTTCTTCTGAATGCGCACAGACGACATTGTCATCAGCATACTGGAGTTCTATAACATCTGTTGTTGTAACCTTGGTTTTGGCTTTCAGTCTGCTGAGGTTGAATAGCTTGCCATCTGTCCGATAGATTATTTCCACTCCGGTGGGAAGCTTCCCATCAACAAGGTGAAGTATCATAGCGATGAAGATGGAGAATAGAGTTGGGGCAATAACACATCCCTGTTTGACACCTGATTCCACCTTAAATGGGTCACTTTGGGAGCCACTGCTGTCCAAGACTGTTGCCATCATGTCATCGTGGAGGAGCCGCAGGATGTTCACAAATTTGTTCAGGGCACCCATTTTTGGAGGATGGTCCAGAGAGCGCTGCATTCACTGTGTCGAATGCCTTTGCAAGGTCAATGAATGCCATGTACAGAGGTTGGTTTTGTTCCCTGCATTTTTCTTGGAGCTGTCGTGCAGTGAAAATCATGTCCACTGTTCCTCTGGAGGGGCGGAAGCCGTTCTGGGATTCTGGGAGGGTGTCTTCTGAGAGGGGCAGAAGGCGGTTTGCAAGGATTCTTGCGAGGATTTTCCCAGCGGAGGTTAGAAGGGAGATACCTCGATAGTTTCCGCAGTCTGTTCTTTCCCCTTTTTTGAAGAGGGTGATGATGGTGGCGTCCTTGAAATCTGCTGGGATTTTCTCGGTCAGCCCACACTTTTTCTATGAGCTGGTGGAGTTGGTGTGTCAGCTCAGGTCCTCCCTCTTTAAAGATTTCAGCAGGGATCCCATCTGGTCCACTGGCTTTGTTATTCTTCTGTTGGCTGATGGCATTGCTGACTTCTTCCAAACTAGGCAGTGCTGCAAGCTCGTCCCTGGTTTGTTGTTGCGGGATTTGTGAGAGGACCTCTTCGGCCACATTGGAGCTGCGGTTCAGGAGGCTTTGGTAGTGTTCTTTCCAACGTAGTGCAATTGAGTTTTGGTCCTTCAGGAGTTTGGTTCCATCTGATGAGCGTAGAGGCTGTATCCCATGGTCCTTGGTCCATAGATGACCTTTGTGGCTTTGAAGAATCCCTGAGCATCATGGGTATCTGCCAGGTGTTGGATTTCTTCAGCCTTCTTTGTCCACCAGATGTTCTTGAGTTCTCTTGTCCTTCTTTGGACCTCAGCTTTTGCACTGGCATAGATCTTTTTCTTAGCAACACAGTTGATGTCTCTCTGCCATGTTTGGAAGGCTTTCCTTTTCTTGTCAATTAGCTGTTGGATCTCGATGTCATTTTCATCAAACCAGTCTTGATGTTTCTTGCTTGGTATCCAATAGTTTCTTCGCAGGCTTGGATGATGGAGGTCTTCAGTTTGTTCCAATGTTCCTCAACATTTTCGGGGTGTACTGTGGGTAGATGGTTCTTGAGTGCTGTTTGGAGATGGGCTCGTCTGGAGGGCTCCTGAAGGGCTTGGGTGTTTATTTTGCGCCTTGTCTTCCTTCCTTGGAGTCTGCGCTTGGGAGCGATCTTGATAGCCATCGAGGATCGAATTAGCCTGTGGTCAGTCCAGCAGTCGTCAGCACCTGTCATGGCTCTTGTGAGGAGCACGTCACGGCGGTCTCTGGCGCGTGTGATTACATAGTCTAAGAGGTGCCAATGCTTTGACCGGGGGTGCTTCCATGATGTCTTGAACTTGTTTTTCTGGCGGAAGAGAGTGTTGGTGATGACAAGGTTGTGCTCCGCACATTTGGTGAGAAGCAGGATGCCATTTGAGTTGCTGTTTCCAACCCCGTCTTTTCCGATGGTCCCTGGCCACAGGTCGAAGTCTCGCC